CTTTTTGTAATGTTTTTTTATTTCTTTTATTTCTATTTAAGTCATTTTAGTACTTCAGCATTTACTTCTTTTATTTCAGTTTGTTGCCAAGTATTCAAATATTAATACAGACTTAATTAAATCTAGCGGAACTGTAATTGGTTGTCCATCATTGTTTGATATTCTTGTTTTAATCCATAAACTTAACTTTTGATCAAAACATGAAAAATACAAGTTGTATAACATACATAATCAAATAAGATTTATATTATGTTTTGCTTCTCCATTTAAATGATTAGGGTGTTTAGATATTTTTATTGGAGAATAACACTAAAATATTGATTATGAAAATATTTTTTTGAAGTGTAAAAAAACAAATGTTTTGACTGAGACAAAAGAGCACTCTTAAAAATAAAGTTTTTTTCCCCATATGAATATGAATATGAATAATGCCATAGAATAGCCATTTTGGGTTCCTCAAAGAAGTTGTTAAAATAACCTTTTTTTTTTTAATCTTGTGAAGAACATTTTCATAACCTAAGAACCATTTTCCACTATAAAGAGCCTCTTGTGGAATGGAAAGGTCCCATGGATGTTGAAGGTTCTTCATAGAACCATAGATGCCAATGAAGAGTGTGACCCCATGCAATAGAAGTATTTGGACATACAAAATATCAATATAGCATCTGCAAACATGTGATTCTACACTTTTTTTTTACACTTCACTTTTATGTCCTGCTGTATATCTTATGCAATATCTAATGCAATCATAATCATACATTTATACGCGGGTCTTAAACCATTTCTGGGGCCGCTGCGTTTGATAAGGCATGCTTAGAAGTCCTAACAGAGGTGCTTGAAAAGAGAGAGTCCCTGACAAACAGCCCTGATGAGACTTGAACCTGTTGCTAGGCCAGCTCAGCACTGCATGCGGTCCAGAGGATCCAAGCATCTGTTCCAGTCGCTACTCCCTCTCCTAACAGCAATAACAGAGCTCATAATATCTTTCTAGGGTTTGAGAGCCAAATATGAGCGAAGAGTGAGCATTCCATGGCTAATGCAGCCACGTTCTGGGCATTTCTTCACAAGAAGCCAATTCCCCCTCTCTCCTCCTCCCTTTCTGCCAGCTGTCCTGCAATGTGCTGCTGCTTGTCAGTGAAGAGAAGTAGCGCACTGTTTTCAGTGACAGGGCAGCACACCATGTCGCCTTACACCTAAGACCCACTCAAATAGACTGATATCATCTGTCTGGTTGAGGATCTACTCAATCCCCCGTGATAAACCTTTGTTTCTAGCGGGCTTGCCGGTAGTCAGGGACACTTGAACTTGAAACGGATCATAGTGACTTCAAGTAGTTGGACAGACCCAAATAATACAAAATAGTTACAAAATACACTGCCTGACCCCCCAAAAAGTTGCTGTTTGGATTTAAATAGGCAAATGCTTAAGAGTCTATGACTGGATTGTTATTGCAGTGATTATTATGTTTCTAGCATGAGTTCTAGCAACAGTTCTTCTAACCCTACTTGATGGAGTGTGTATAGCTTTTCATTTCTTAAACAACCATGTAGGAAGACACATCATTGCCTTATTCCAGGATGACAAAGCCAAGATTCATCAGTCTCAAATTGCTCAAAAGAATGGTTGGGAGGGAGCATGAAGAATAATTTTCACACATGAATTGGCACCTTTTGGTCAAGATCTTGTATTGACAATGCAAGAGTCAAGCACTCTGTAAAGTCTCCTCCAGCACATCCCAAAGACTTTCAATGAATTCAAGGTCTGGACTCGAGGTGCCAAGTCATGTGTGAAAATTAAATTCTTCATGCTCACTCCCAACCATTCTTTCACAATTTGAGCCTGATGAATCCTGACATTGTCATCCTGGAATATGGCCATGATGTGTCTTCATACATTTGTTTAAGAAATGAAAAGCTACACACTCCATCAATTAGGGTTAGAAGAACGGTTGCCAAACATATAACACGCTAGAAACATAATAATCACTGCAATAATGATCCAATCAAAGACTCTTAAGCATTTGCCTATTTAAATCCAAACAATCTTTTATTTTTTGGGTGGGCAGTGTAGTTACAATACTGTTTAAAACTTTTGTAAATACAGTGTACTTGCGTAGTTTAAAATATGGATATTTTTCTTACACAAACACATCGCTTCGCTTCAGAAGGCCTTTATTAAACCCCCAGAGCCGTGTGGAGCACTTTTATCATGGATGGATGCACTTTGATGGACTTCAAAACATAAACAGCCATTCACTGCCATTATAAAGCTTGGAAGCCAGGACATGTTTTAATATAACTCCAATTGTATTTGTCTGAAAGAAGAATGTCATGTACACCTAGGATGGCTTGAGAGTGAGTAAAATGGGGTAATTTTACTTTTTGGGCGAACTATCCCTTTAAGCTAGATTTTGACATTTTCTTGGTTCTTTCACAATGCTAAGAAACCACATGTGGTTGCCAAATATTGTCCACAAGCTGGCAAAAAGTTTACTTTTAATGACAAGGAAATGTTAGTTTGTGAAATGTCATGTGGTGTGACTAACCAAAAATATAATGACATTTATGAAGTATTAGTTATGGTTATTGATACAAAAAGAAATTCTTGAAAAATACATTTAAAAAATACGTTTTAAAATAATGATTAAGATCACATTTGAGGTATAAAAAAATACCAGTATTTTTACTGGATGGTGCACCGCATATTTAAAGTCATTACATTGAAACTTTCTTGTTAACTAATTGATAATTGTGTTGTTTTTCAAAACCATATAATGCCAGTGTGGACACAAATAATCATTTTATAAGAATATATATATATAGTTTTTTAAAAATATTTTTGTCATGGACACCCCTCTTTGTGATACACCTTTCGCACAAGATAACTGTGTTATAACATTGGTAACCTGACCTTTACTAAAAATGCTGAGAAAGTGCTTTCCTCTTCAGGAAGAGTTCCTGGGTGGTGTGTGTGTCTTGTGTGTGTGCTCATGCTAAACCCTGAGTTGTGGGGACAAAAGTATTATTTTTTGGCACCCATGAGTAAAACAGCTTATAAATCATACTACGTGTTTTTGGAAAATGTAAAAAATGCAGAAAGTTTTCTGTGAGCGTTGTGTTTAGGGGTTAGGGGATAAAATATACAGTTTGTACAGTGTAAAACTCATCTCCCCATAAAACATGAAAACCCAAAGTGTGTGTGCGTGTGTGTGGTTGGTTGCATGGACCTGTCACCCTGCCATCCTCCATTTCTGCTGACAGTAGGCTAAGAGAAGGTCCGGGGTGAATGACTCCCCTGCAGCCTGGACAGCCACAGAGGCTCCATTGTGCTCCTCAACCATCAGTGATCATCCATCACATTTTAACCTGACAGCCAACTGCACAGCCTCCTAATCCTGCTAAGGATGGAGGCTTGGGTTACCATGACGAGAGCACCACGGGGCTTCCAGCTTCGGACCTGTGCTGGACAAGGGCAGAAAGTACCTTTAAGTTCTGAAACAGCTCTCAACCTCTACATTCACAAACTAAAGATCTGTAAGGACGCAGTCAAAAGTATTTTTGAGGGACTCTTTCACCAGTGACATTGCAGAAGTGTTCAGCATACTGTCACTCAAGGAAAATATCATAGTGAAAAACCCCCTTCACCATGTACTACATGAACCTCGAATAGCTGTGGTGTGTCAGTAACCATAAATAAGCCTGTGGATTCATTAGGGAACATAGCGGAAGCTCTACCGAATTAGCATGTGAGCTATGAGCCCAGACAAGCACATTAGGGATTTCCAGCATCCGGAGAGCTTACCTCACTTTTTGGGGTCAGGGACAAGAAAGGTCTACCTTACTGAACCAATGCCAGACATTACAGGACAGGTAAACGCATGGATACAGTAGCTATACCACAAAGATTTGAAGAAAAACATGCATCAAAAACAAAACGATTCATTTGTTATTAATAGGACAAAGGTTGAAAACACAATCATTTTAAATATGAAATATATCAATGTATTTATTAGTTATATTGTATTCTATATTTAAATAATAGGCCTATGTATTATTATTATTATTATTAACAACAGCAAATTATTAGGTAATTCAACAAAAATGAAGATAATTTTAAATATTTAAAAATGGATTATTTCTATAATATTAAAATGCAGTATTTATTATTATTATTAACAGCAAATTATAAGATTGAGAAGATTATACGTTTATATATTAATATATGTATTATTATTATATTCTTTACACTATTATTATAATATTAAAATGCATTTATTATTATTATTATTATTATTATCACAAATGATTGCTGATTGGACAAAGATTGAGAAAATGGTCAGCAGTTAAACTGGAAACTGAAAATTCATTATTTTTTTAGTTTTAGTTTATATATAAACAGCGAATTTATAGTTATATATATATATATATATATAAGTAATGTAATATTGTTGTGTTTTTTATTTTTATATATTAATATATTCTACTTATTATTCTACATTGTTTTACAATATTATTTATTTATATTTAGTTATATTAATTCCATTTATTGTCTTTGAAACAGCTACAGAGTATACAAATAAAACCAGAGGATTCTCTACAGTTTCCCATTTATCTTGAGCTTCTTTTTCCAAACAGACACCCTCAATGATAAACTGCTCCAGCCAAGCTATAGAAACAACGAACTGCTAATAATACATAAAAGTGATGAGACATTCTTCTGCTTTAGAAGAGAAGGTGATATTGTCTGACAAGAATGTAGATCATTTAATTAATGAGCCATAGTGAATCTTTCATATCTGCTGCAGTCTGTTTGCTTTCCACAGCACCCAGATCATGTTCCTGCACTTTCAACAGCGGCCTGACGCCGTTCTTGAAGCAAACCGGTCCCAAATCCCCAGAAGATTGGGGAATGAAAAGAGATGTAAAGTTTAGATGTGTGGCAACAGCTAAACGCAGGGTCAGGTTTCTCAGAGCCCTGGCTATATTTAACCTACTGATCTAACACCAGGCAGAGAGTTTAAATGCCACCACTGCAGTTGGTGTGGAGCAGTTGTCGTCCACAGATCTTCTTCAGCACGAGCTCAGCTCCGAGGGTTACACCCACACACGCTCGCAAGGACCGTAAAGGACCTATAACGCTTTTAGAGAAGACACAGCAGAGCCGGTGGACTCTAATTCCAGCGAGACATGGAGCTTTTCGAGACCAACCCCTACTTCTTCGCAGACCAGCGTTTTTACGAAGGCGGCGATAACTTCTTCCAATCCAGGCTGACCGGAGGCTTCGACCAAGCAGGATATCAGGATAGAAGCTCCATGATGGGCTTGTGTGGAGACGGAAGGATGCTGTCCAACGGAGTGGGATTGGAGGACAAACCGTCTCCATCATCTAGCCTCGGTTTGTCCATGTCTCCTCATCAGGAGCAGCAGCACTGTCCGGGTCAGTGTCTGCCTTGGGCCTGTAAGGTGTGCAAGCGCAAGTCGGTGACAATGGATCGACGAAAAGCCGCCACTTTGAGGGAGAAGAGGAGGTTGAAGAAAGTCAACGAGGCCTTCGAGGCTCTTAAAAGAAGCACGCTTATGAATCCCAACCAGAGGCTGCCTAAGGTGGAAATCCTGCGCAGCGCCATCCAGTACATCGAGAGACTGCAAGCGTTGGTCAGCTCCCTCAACCAGCAGGAACATGAGCAGGGAAACCTGCATTATAGAGCCGCAGCTCCTCAAGGGGTGAGTGAAGCTTGGGGGAACGGGGCAGGTGTATGGTGGGATTTATCAATGACTTAGATGTTGTCAAAAAGGACTGTACTTCCAAAACCTGCACTTTTATTTTTTTTCCTCAAAGCAAATGTTATTGGAAAGCGCTTCGCATTAATTAAGTGGGCACTCTTTTGACATTGCACAGTTTTGTGGGTATTTGATTATCTATTTCTATTACCTATTTGATTTCTATCCTGTAAAAGAAATTGCGCAAGTGCATTCATTCATTAATTGTGAAAATTTGAAGATGGCGATAAAGCTGCCTGCAATGCAAATTAAAATTGTATTTTAAATTGAAGGCTAAATGCGGCCTTAAATGCAGCATGCGTTGCAAAAAATAAATATTAATTTTTTTATTTAAATAAAAATAAATGAATACAATTTTAAATTGAAGACTAAATAAAGCCTTGAATGCAGCATGCATTCCAAAAACCCCCAGAAAAAGTTAAAATTTTGTTTAAATTTAATTTAAAAAAAGCATTTTAAATGAAATTTTACGTCAATAAAATAGTATAAAAATTAAATCAGTAGTTTGCATGTTTCAATTTTTAAAAGCACGAACACGCCTATATAAAATGTTTAATCCAATGTGTAAAAGACGATGATAATAGGTTGCCGAGAGCTTGTTTCTGATGGTTGTGAGGGTGTTGGGGGTCCTGTGGTCGGGTGGGGTAGCTGGCGATGTGACTGACAGTAGTGTGTGTGTTTGCGTGTAACAGGTGTCGTCCTCCAGCGAGCAGGGCTCTGGCAGCACCTGCTCTAGCAGTCCTGAGTGGAGCAGCGCATCGGAGCACTGCGTCCCCGTCTACAGCTCCACCCACGAGGGTAAGACCACCACACCTACGTACACTAACTAACCTGATGACAAATATGAAGGATCAAAATAATGCGTCAAGAAAACTTCTTTCGAACCAAATTCCTTATTTTTGCATTTCACATTAAAATGTGAGGTTTGAACGACTTGCCTGGCAAACATGTGACAGTGACATTTTCCTCAGATCTCCTGAATGACGACTCCCCAGAGCAGACCAACCTGAGGTCTCTGACCTCTATTGTGGACAGCATTACAGGAACAGAGGTGACTCCCGTGCCCTATTCAGTGGACATAAGCAAATAAATAAGGAGGGTGACCCTACCGTTATGTTCAGAGTGACCACCTTTCAATGACCATAGCAGCACTATCTATGACACCCAAGGTGAATGAAGAACCTTTTAAAAGTCATAAAAGCCTTGGGGGCTTAATTTCCAGACAAATCTTGAGGTACATATGATTATATTTCCAAATGTTTCTTATCTCTGTGGGAATAAGAACGAATTTCAGATCAGCCTAATTCCTGCTGAAACTTAAGACAGTCAGGCTGGGCAAATCATATTTTCATAATTTGTCCTTTTTTTCCTCTTGATTCCTTTATTTTTTCACTCTGTTTGTGTGTGCTTAATGCTTACCAACAAAAAAGAAACATTTGTGGGTCCAATGTTTTACATCTGGTTTTGACCAATTTCTGCTTAATTTAAACTAGTTCCAAATGCCAGTTATGTAAATATGTTCCTATTTTCTACAGAGTGGTTTTGTTATTTTGTTTTGTATTTTTTCCTGTGTGTTTGGAATAACTTATTTGGACTTTTATAATAAAGATTGTTGTGTATTTGTAAATATTCATTTCTAATCCCATTCTCCGTCCTCTAAAAAAAACGATTTCCTTCTGTCTTTTGCTGATTTGGTTATCAAATTTATAAAACAAATAAATTAAGTACTTTCCCAGCATCCCCCTTTATCTCTAAAATATGCTTTAGTGTGCAAAAAACAAAACCAACCCAAAAATCCAAGAAATGATTTATAATACATAAGGTAAATATTTATTTTATATATTCATAATTATTTATTTGTGACAGATTTTTACATTTAAGGTGAAAAAAAAGAGAAAAACTCAAACAATATCTGACACGTACTAAACAAACAAACATCACAGTAAAAGAAAAATTCTCACTTGTTCAACCACATGCTTTATGTGGAATCTGCATCTATTCTATACAGCATTATATACATAAATCATCTATTTACACACACATTAAACCTTACATGCACACAAAAGAGAAAGAGTTTGTGAGAGGGCTAGAGAGCAAGGGAGAAAGAGAGAGAGAGAGAGAGAGAGAGAGAGAGAGAGAGAGAGACCTGCACCTGTTTACAGTTCACATTACTGTCAAGAGCTACAGAAACAAATTAGCGTAAAAATGACCATCACAGGAGCACACGCTGCAAAGCAAGAGGCTTCAGTTACTCCACCACTGTCGCATCAGGGAAACGTCTCGGCATTGTACTAACGCTTGGTCCTCGTCAAGGCATTTTTTTTAGCAAGCCACTAAAGGATCAAATCGATATTCAGCGAGCGTGCTAAACATTAAAGAGACATTATAAATGAAACAGAAACAACTAAACTGGCTGTGAGAGGCTAGGCACAATTGGCAGACCGAGGCTTAAAAAAAGAGCAGCACACCACAGGATTTCAAGTTCAAGTGTTTGCGTGGTGATATATTCCTTTAGATCTGTGGTAATGACGATTGAGAGTGAGAAAGAGAGGCAATAGATGCTACAGTGATTGTCAAGTTTAGTGGCATGCATGCTCCACCGGACGCCCCAATGCCAACAGTGACCCACACAGCACAAACATGATCATTCATTCATTTCAAAGGATATTCAAAATGATGATTATGATGGGTTTTTTGCGTATAAAATGAAAAAAACAGTCACTTATATTAATACTTTTTTTAATAGAGAGCACTTCTTAAAGTAAGAACATGATTTGTCAGCATTGTGTAACACTTAAAATACACATACACACGTTTTCACACACAGTACAGTAGCTGCCACAATAGCACGATATATCCTGTGAATTATACAGAAAATATTGTCTTAAAAAAAAGAAGAAATGCCCAACGCGCTCATAACTTGTTTGGTAGGTATGTTGCTCAAGAATCATTTGCTCCCATAGTGGTTAAATTTCAAGTGGCGGCACCAAAAGAGATCATATGTTCATTTGCAGGTCCTACGTGCTGGAAATCTTTTTTTTTTTTTTTTTTTTGCTCCTGATGCTAAGTGAACTGAAGTCAATTGCTTTCCCTGATGCTTGACAATATTTAGCATCATGGCTTCATACGATCTCGATGTCCTGGAAGTGTGTGGACAGAAACTCTATGTGGATAAGCGCTGCTGATGTGAACACAAACGCACGTTTCTTCAGTCAACACCGACTACAAGTGTAACACCCTTTCTAGCAGACGGAGCTGTCTAACCGACAGGAAACAGTCACAACTGAGACTTTAAAACTCATATAATAATGATATATTCATCTCGATATACAAGTCTGATATATATTTCCATAAAAAACATAATCGCATAATTTTCTGTTTTTCATATATACATAGACATTGATTAATAATTTGCATAACCAAAGGGAAGAAAGCCTTATACAGTAAAATGCCAATGGTACACCCAAAGGAGCAGACTAGCACTGACAGACTACAGGGCCAAGTACACCAGTTAAGTACGACCACCACAAAGACTATATAACCGGGATTACTGGGAAACGACTGATATGACGAGATTTCTCCTTTGCGGCTGCAATGCGTTCCATGCGCTCAAGAGTTCAAAATTCGTCTTTCTGTCCCCCTCTATTGCACGGTGTCCAAGAAAGCTCTGGTGTGGTTCAGGACAGGGGAGGGGCGGAGGTTAACCCTTCCCTCATCTTTTCAAGGTGTCCCCAGATTTTGGCATATTTCATTGTCGAAAGGCCGCAAGCATGTGTCCGTACAGGTAGTGGGAATGCACTGGCAGGGAAATGAGAGGATACAAATCATCAAAACCATATTTACGAGGTCTTAAAAACAATTTGTTCCGGGTTCGAGCATGTCAGGGCATAATAAGCACTCAGTATACCAACAAATTATCATATCAATGGCAAGTAAATAGAAGTTATTTTATGGAAGAATTCACGCAAAAATAATCATAGCTTTTGTGTGTTCCATTGTAAGGGGTTATACAAAGTGTGAGATGGAGGGCAGTGGAATAAAATTTTGGCTTTTGACTTGAGCGCCACATTTTCAGAATGCTGTGTCATATGGAAGACGCAACAAACAATACAAGACCTAAGTGCAATGGTCACACACTTCGGTTTACATATAAACAAATGGAAACGCAGAGTGGAATGCAAAAATACATTGTGTATGAATGTGTGTTAGGGGCCATTCAGACAAAGCATGTTTTTGCATTTAAAAATGCCAGATGGAGAGCAATGTAATGACACAGGATCTAGAGAGGCATTTTTTTCATTTAAACAACTTAACTTGAGAGCCCGATTTTGATGTGCAATGCAGCAGATGCTACAAAAGACGCAAGCGCAACAGTCAAATTGTCAATGTGTGTATGTTTACATAGAAACACAATGGTTAAGCAGTGCAGTGCAATGCAAAAATGCGCTTTTTAGTGTCGGACTAAAAATGCAAGATGCCAGGCAGTGGAATGAAAAAAAAAGGTCTGCTCTTTTAAAGGTTGAAACTCTTTTAACTTGAGTGCTGCATTTTAGAACGGCTTGCTATGAGCGAGACAGTGCTAAAGATGTGAGACGCGAGCGCAACAGTCAAACACATCTGTCTAGAGCAGGTTAACATTGAAAAACACTGAATGGAAATGCAAAAAAGTGTTCTGTGTGAACGGCCCCTTACTCTAACTGCAACATCTGCCTTGAAATAGTTTTCCAACACTACGCTACAAGTTCTGACAATTGAGCTTAACTTGTATCAAACCCAGAACAACACTTTACCAATATTAGTGCAATAATTATCAAATGTGACACATTTTAATACATCATAACACAAATTAAATATATACTTGATTAAATCATGTAAAGACAGAAAATGTAATTAGTTCAGATGTTCATATAATTCATGAGACTGAATAAATATAAATGAAAGAACATTGAAAATTGAAAAAAATAATAATAATAACAGAGCGCAATAATCCATTGCAATCAGTACTTCATATATGGATGTCAGTGTGTTGCTATGCAGTTGCTAATGTCTTCTGATTGGTTGCAAGGTGGTTCCTAGGAGTGTTGAAAGGATTATATGAACTTTCATTCAATTCTGTTTTATAGAAGTTTACGCTACTTTGAATTCAAGCACTTGAAAAGAAACTCAACTGACCATTCATGTACAAAAAGCAGAAGAAAAAAAGCCAAGCAACAAATCTGAGCATCATTACCTAACCAGATGCGACGCGGCATGCGATAAAAGGTTTCTTTTCCATGTTAATCAGGGTTTTTATCGGCAAAACGGCGATACTTGACGATTCTATTTTAGAAACGGTTTCTATTTTTCTGAGACGTTGCAGCTAGAACAACAACATACAAAGTATGAGCATGATAATCTTCTCAGCTACTGATTATGTGCTTTATTTAATGTTAAAATAATTTAATGCGAGTTTGAATATCATTTTGCATGACCTTTATAGCCATACTGAAAGTGACAAAGGATAATTCACCTCAGATCTTGAAATATTTTTTTTTTACAGGAAACAACAACGTTCAAACTTTGAACTCGATGCAAACAAACAAGCGTATTCTAGTCACTCAGATAGTATCAGTCACTCAGTATGTATTTTTTAACAATGTTAAAATGGTGTCACTTCCGATTGGCTGTGATTTTTGACTGATTTCTCGTAGTCGTGTCACGTCTGGTGTGGACAGACTGCTTGACGCTGGAATCGTATCGCGTCTGGTTAGGAGATGGTGTTAAACATCTCTTACTGAGCCATCAGAGCTTATAGACGAGAGGCTGAAGTGAACAGCTTACCTGTTAGTGTAAGTGCAGTGATTAGTAAAAGCAAGTTAGCAGGAGTAAGTCCTGACAGCTGAGGGGTCTAGTCTCTGCGGGGCCGGGGGACCGGCTGCTGAACCACAGAGACACAGAGGGGAGAAAACATGCAATGACATAAACTGTGACCCCAACCTGTGCCATTCATATTAGTTACTTTTAACACATGCTTTCACAGTCAATATGCATTCATGTGTTGCAATTAGTGTCGTAAGATATACTGTAAAAGAGTTAGAGAAGGCACTAATTGTTAGTACAGTACTGCAACCATTAAAGAGCAACGTGCTAATGGCAATGCTGAACTCCTTTCCCCCTTGTAAAACACCCTGCCCCCCTTTCTACCTTCTGGTTGCAGCTGTCTCCTGGGCACAGCAGCCATAGAAGCGGGAATGGACATGGTGTTGAGGCGGAAGCTAGCGGGAAGAGTCTCTATGGACCCCGGCAACATACCAAGACCCTGGCCGTCCCTCGGCCTGAAGCGCTTACGCCACGACGGAGACCTTCGGAATGACTTGTCATCACTCTGATGAGAAGGATGACATCACAACGACTGGGTTCAGATCTTGTTCAAAAGCATGACTGCACACACATTCGTATTATTTCAAATATGGCAACAGAGAATGAATATGACAGCACAACGATATAAAAGCTTCAGCTAATTTTCTCAATCTTGGGTGAACAAATGTCAACGTTAATGATGAGCAGAGCAATCCTGGCTATTTCTGCAGAGGGGTCTCGCTGCAGACATGCACTCCCAGCTCACAAATGTAAAAGCAACTGTCTGAC